AGCTCGTATCGATTAGTGTCACCAGATGCTTAACAAATTCTTTGAATGTTTCAAAAGGCGTGTATAAGATTATAACAGGTGACAAATCATGGATCTATTCATATGAACCTGAAACTAAACAGCTATCGACTGTATGGGTATTTCATAATAAACCGAATCCAACAAAAGTTGTTCGCGCTTGTTATTTTTTTGGAAAAACTGGTTATGTGGCACAGTACAATTAGAACAACGTAGAATGGTCAATTCTGAATGATGTTTTCCAAAGTCGTTCGGAGATATGAGGAAAACAAATCGCCAAAGACGGATAATTATCACGACAATGCAAGCTCGCACACATTAGCTCAAAAAAGGAAAGGCTTGAGCACTGAAATCATTGAATTAATGGGTCATCTTGATTTGGCATTCAATGACTTTTTCTTCACACCGATTTTCGTCGGCAGAAGAAGCCGTTGATGCATTCAAAAATCATGTTTTGGTGATATTCCAAAAACAATGGAAAAATGTTTTGACAAAGGGTTTGAGCGAATGAAAAAATGCATACATCGTAATCGAGAATATTTTGAAAAATAGTAAAGCGATTTTTAACGACAATTTACTGTTTTTTTCTTTATTAGGCTCATAATATAAATAGTAACCCCCGTAATACCCCAATAATACCACCAAGTTAGGATACCGAAGCTACTACTCCCTATTGTAAAGTCTGACAGTAGGGCACAAACAGTAAAATAGAAATCGGATCGTGCAAAGAGATCAAGGAATAAATTAATAAACAAACAGATTATCTAAACTCAAGGACAGTGTGGCGTGTTACAAAAACCGTTTGCAATGATAACAATCAGCTTAACTTACACCAAACACTAGAGTAAACCAAATGGTAAATTTATCGAGTTGTAGAGAGACAATAAAACATTATTGGTTGATGAACAATTAAGGGAATTATTCTACTCTTTCAAAAGAAAAAGAGAAAATACTTCTCAGAAAAATTAAAAATGGTAAATTAGTAGGTAAGTATGGGATTCTATAGAAATAAAAAACAATGGAACGTTTAAAAAACATGCTAGTATTATTATTTATGGACCCTAAGTGAAATATTAAAAGAAATTATAAAAAAATGAAGAAAGTCATTACATGTTTTCTGGAAGACCATTCTAATGGCAAGATGTGTGCTGGAAAAAATTACTTTGTGGCAAGGAAAAAAGATCGGAAGCAGAAGCATGTATTGCTAAATATACTACTTAACTTGCATAAGTCTTTCATTAACCAATCAGGTATTAAAATATCTTCTGTTTTATAGGCTCAGACCATTTGGGATAGTTCCACCGCACTGCGATAAAAGCGTAACTTGTCCCTGCGTAACTCACACAAATATTGATTTGTCACTTAATGCCTTACATCCAGCAAAAATAATATCTGTATCACATCATGTCAGTCTTCTCAATCTAATTTGTTGCGACAGATATAATGAGTGCCAGACCTGCAAAAACAAAGGGCTAAATACAAAGAATTTGATAATTATATTCCAATATTTTAAATAAATTGGCAATCTTTACATGAAAATATAATCGATCCCAAAACGAAGAAAACACGAAAAGTGACAAAGTACTTAAAAAACACATTGCATATATATCCTCGCGAGTTAATCTTGCAGTTGGAAACCAGACTAAAACAGTTTCTTCGGCTATAGTATTGACGACTATAGTAGTATACCGTTTTCATTAAAAAAAAAAAAGGAAAATAATACAAAAAATGCTATCATTCACATGCACTTCAGTGAGATCTATTAAACTAAGTATGCCGAAGAAATTTAGTCATTCCATTTCGAAGGCTCCAGGCAACAAGTTAATCATAACATGGTACTCACACCACAAAAAATGCAGCAACTGAAGTACTACAGACTATAATATCCCATTCTCCTCCAGCCATATGAACTCATTTACAGCCTATTCTAGACGAATTGCCTATCAACGTTGAAAATTTACATTGCTTGAGCGATGGACCGCAATAAAATTATGTTTTATGTATTAGTAACTAAGTTGTAGATATTTTACCCTTACTTGATGAAATTTACGAGGAATTACCAAGAAGCCGGTCATGGCAAAGGAGCTTCCGATAGAGTAGGTGCAGTATGAAATAAAACCGCGCAGAAAGGCCGATTGGAAGTAGTGATGGACGATATCGTGATTTTTTAATCACGTTGTGAATCGTTACTGTTACTTTTTGATATCAGTGATTGAAAAGCGTGACGTAATCACGACCTCTAAATTTCGCGCGTTTGATAACAAGTCGCGTTGTCAAGATAGATAGATAGATAGATACCAAATAATGAAAAATATATGAAAGAAAAAGAACCATAATGATATCCTTTCGTGATTTAGTATAGCCAAACGAAGGATAATAAGGCACGATGTCGTATGCCACGCGTCTTATTACAATTGAGATTTGCAAAAATCGACCTTATTAGCATACGTTTGTCAATAAGTCACGGAGTTGCCTGCTGCCTATTATATTTTAAATGATTTGAAGCGAAAATCGACTTAATGACGTGACTGAAGGTAATACCGGTATTGCAAAAGCCTAAAAGGTTTGAGTACGAAATAAGAAACCAATACTGTGTGTGAGCGTGATCACTTCACGACTTTTTTCACAAGTTGGTAACGGGAACGACTTGATATTTATTGGTATCAGTGATTAAATCACTGTTCGTGAAATATCGCTTATCAGTAATTGGAAGTGGGACTGACCTGACCTCGTTGAATGATTTAACAAACGTTATTCATACAATTTTGCTCAACATTAAAGTCTTAACTCTTAAAGCCTGAGATGAACTGATAACATTTTGGGCAGAGTCGGAACATCTGGGGGGCACTTTATAGGAGATCGTTTTTATATTTTATGGAATATGTTATTTATGTTTGGAGAAGAAAAAAATAAAAGGTACTTCTATATTCTAAAATTTTTGTCCTATACAAAATTTTCCTAAAATGGTCCGTATTCGAGAAATTTTACAAAATGTAAAAATTCAAATTTTTAAGAAAATTGTTCAAATAAAAGTTGTTTGTGATATAATTTTCTATAATTCTTGTACTAAATATATATACATAATTTCTCCAAAATCGACCATGTTCGAGATATTTGAGAAAAAGTGTAAATTTCGAATTTTGAAGAAAACAAACGGATATAGAAAAAACATTAAATTTTAAACTTAAGTTTTATTCCGGCATATGATGAATTGATTAGAATATAGGTCGTTTTTATATTTTATGGAATAGAAACTCCCAGGCCGGATATTTTGGTAAGTAATAGATATTTTAATTCTGTAAAAGTCAGTTCACGGAGCACTAAGAGACCTTGAGTTTTAGATATAAATTGATTTTAAATAGGTCAATATGTAGATGGCGCTGCGCTTAATAATGTTTTTCGATGGGAGGATCTTTCTTGTGTAGCGCATCTTGTAAAAAATGCATTTTTAAGCAGATTTTGTTTTATGAATTAATTCGATATATCTAGCCACTTTTGATATACAGAGTGGGTCACTTAAAACAGTTTCATCCTGTTTTTCAGCATTAATCATTAGATTTTAAGAAAATGCTAAAACAGGTCGATTTTTATTCCATAGATAGGACACATCAGATTTTGTATTTCAATCAAATTTAATACATGTATTATTTATAGAAGAGAATTGTCCGATCGAATATACTTTTTCTCCATGAAGCTTACACCAATTTTGATTTTAGATTATAGTGATATTGATGCAAAATTTTAATTGGATTGGAACCTAAAAGAAATTGAAGATTATATTTGCTCCCTATACCCTAGTGCTCCATTAAAATTAGTGGGATTTAAGATAGCTAAAATGGATCGACAAAAAAAACTAATTTTCAAGGAATTTAATAATTTACTCCAATTGACAGATAATGCGGGTCAAAGCCAAATAGTTTTCATCCCATATCGAGACCTTCCTCTTACACAAGTAACAACATCTCATAGAACTGTAGCTGCAACTATAGTACCTGCAACCTTAACAGCACCAAACCAAACAAGAACCACAGCCATAAGAGCACCAAGCCAAACAAGAACCACAGCCATGACAGCACCAAGCCAAAGAACAACCACAACTACACCACATGCAGCATTTCCTACAACTTCAAGCTCAGTTCAAATAGATGATATTAGCCCATTACTTGAATGTTCTTTTCTTAATGATGTCAATGATACTGAGTGCAACTTGTTACCCATCCTTCCTACTATTGAAGAAAATGCTAAAATATTTAATATCAGCATTACAAGGGCAAATTGTGTTCATGAGATGTTTAAATATTATACAGATGAAACACTAGTAGAAAAAAATTTGTTAGTATTATTTGAAAATAAAATGGGAATAGATGGAGAAGGTTTAACCAAAGAACTGTTTAATTTATTTTTTAAACAAGTCGAAAATCTTTATTTTCAAGGTAAAGATTGCTTTATGCCATTCTTATCTCTAAATAGAAATAGAAAAGTAAACAAAATTTTACACTTATCGGAAGAATTTTGGAGCATATGTTACTCTTAACTGGAAGTATTCCTTCCAAGTTATCTAAAATAATGCTTCTGTTGATTGCAGATCCAAATAATGAAATTGATAAAAATACTCTTGTTGAGGAGTTTCACAATTTCCTAAATCTTTGTGAAAGGTTAATTTCAAAAAAATCTGTTAATAATTTTAGTTTTCACCAAAGAAAAGGATATATTGATTAATACTTTTAATTTATTTCATTTCTATGAAATGCCATCCAGTGATGAAATCGTTGAGCAAGTGGCCTCTATTGCACTAGTACAAGCTCCGAAAAAATGTATAGAATCAATGAAAATTGGAAATAATATTGCAAAACACAGTTCATTTTGGAATAAATGTGGTTTTGCAACCTTACTTGCCCACCCCTAATAAAGTCGCTAATTGCCTAAAAGTAGCAAGTGACTTTTTTACCAACGAAGAAACCAAAATTTTGTATTTCTTAGATATGTACATTAGATGCTTACATGACGAAAGAATTGAACATTTTGTTTTTTTAGTAACTGTTTCATATCAAATGCCAGATTACATTTTGATTGAGTTCAGCACATTTGTAGGTTTAGCACAAAGGCCTACATTTAGTACATGTGAAAACACTATTCATGTACCAACAACTTACTGCAGTTATCAAGAGTTAAGGCAAAATTTTGATTTATGTTTATTATCAGATGAAGCATATCTTTACACAACATATTAAACTAATTGCCTTAGGTGTAAGCTTATATTTTTAAAATTAGTTTTATTTAATTAAGGTGTATTTAAAATAATTGGTCATTGTATGATTTAATAGCTGAAATATATCGGGTTATTCATAATAAATTACCCACCCTTTATCATTGTTTTTTTTTGAATATACCAAATGTTTCAAATACAAGTTTTGTGGCTGTGACTAATTTTTTTAAATGCCATCAAAAACAGAGTTATGTACTTTAAAAAATATATATTTTCTGATTTCAAAAATATGCCAATTATATGATACCCATACCTTAAACTATTTTCAAGTCATTAAACATCTGATCTTAGTCAAATTATCTAAAAGTTAATATGAAAGTAAGCTATTAAAATAACAACTATTATTATGCCTCACTATAAACCATTTTGATTTTATTAAAAAAATGTCATTAAACATAGTTGTTATTTTTATACTTGTAAGATGTTCACTTTTCCATAATTTAGCTATTCGACGTTTAATAATTTGAATATGGTATAAGGTACGGGTATTATGGGATATTTTTGAAAGCAAAAAAAGACCACTACAAAGCCGCATGAAATATGCACAGCACCGTTTCTGGTAACATAACTTTTATTTGTAACATTTTTTGTATGTGCAATAACGAGGATAAATGGGTGGATAATTTATAATGAATACATAAGATACATAGGTTTAAATAAAGATCTGTTAAAATAATTATAGTTTAGTTAAAAAAAATGTTTTCTTATTAATTATTCAAGTATCTAGAGTTGTTAACAAAAAAAAATTATTAAAATATTTTTGTTGTGAATGTTTTAATTAAAATAAAATTACATAAAAAAAAATACCAGTTATTATAATTACTTACATCTGTTACAGTAGGTAGGGGTTTAACCCATTAAAGCCCTCCCTCGTTTATAAAACACTGACCCACTTTTGAAACTAGACGCGTCCCTGATGTATAGGATTGGACTTGTATTAATGCATTTAAAAAAAAGGTATTTTAATTAAAAAATGTACGTTCAATAATATATTTCAACTTTTTTAGATTGTGAAAGGCATAAAAAATAATTTTAAGTGAAATGTAAATTTTTAATAAACTTATTAAAATTAAACAATTAACTCTTGTATACATGATAAATGTTTTTCTTGGTTTGAAGTATCATTGTTTAATATATTATTTGTGTGAGTTCTAGGTCCTTAGTCTCCTGTGATGTACTATTAATATCCTCCGCAATAGATGTTGTATTTAGACCTTACTGGTATTAAAATACATTGTTAATACGTTCATTTATTCTTTCTTGGTTATTTGCCAATTCTCCAACAGCTGTGTGTTCAGAATTTGTATTACCAATAAATCCTTTGACCCATATTTCATGGGTACTTCTGTTACCTTCTGTACGTATTTTGTGATCATTTTAAGCCCCTTGAAATTGTTTTAAATTTTTATTAATTTCTCTTAAATATACTTTATGCAAAGCATATAAGTGCTTGATATTGTTGGGATCTAGCGTTCTATTCTCTTCCATGCTATAAAATAAGTTATAAAATGTTTCAATGACTTGTTGGAAACCATCGACCCATAATCTTTCAATTCTCTGGTTATGTATAGATTTTCCAGTAAAATGACTACCCCGACCAAGACCACGAATTGAGTTCATTAAAATTGCCACAAATATATTTTCATACCCATGGTCTGACCGAACACGTGAGGGCACGGCATATATTGATACAGAAGGTACAAATAAGTTTACTAGTGTCTCAGTAGTTACTGATGTTGCACAGCTTACATAAATAATTGTTCTTGAGTATTTATCTATACAGCCGTGAGTTGCAAATCCCCATCTAAAAATATTTGACAAATACCAAATTTAGCCCATTTTATTATTTACCGGCGTTAGTTTCATTTAAAAAAAAAACAAGATAAAGTTTTTTGTTTATAGTGATATTTGTGTTCTGAGAATTTTTATAGCTGTAAATTGGTATCCAAAAAATCTATCATCTGAAATAAAGAGTAACAAGTTTTATTCTGTTGTCCACATACATAATCTATGTGATGTTCGAGTCCAACCAAGTATCATCTAACAGTTTGGTATGGGTTTCAAATTCAAATGGCTTATTGTCTTTGGTAAATATTTCTTTATATAGAAAATGAAACATGCTGTTTTGTCTTTATTAAAAGTTAAAGGAATTTCTGTGGTACCAATGTCCCATCTGACTAACTACAACACATACGAAGTATAAATAAACAAGTTAATAGTGGCCCGATGAGTTCGAAACGTCAGAGGTAAAATTGAACGTTCAAAAATTAAGTAGCATTTAGGTTTAAAAAAAATGTATGGGTTTTATTTTTAAAAATAAGGATTCCATTTAATATTCTCGAAATATTTTAGAAACCGTACCTGATACATAAATTTTCAAGAATTACTTACAAAAGTACCTAAGGTGAGTTACATGGGGCCAATTTACCGACGTCCACATATTTTATGCATAATTGCATAGATAAGATAGCAGTTCTTTGTTGCATTATTATTAACTTTACCTTTTATATTGTATCTAGATTCATTCTTTGCTTAGCATTTGGGCAATAAACAAGCTTTGTATTTTATATAATAAATAATAAAATTTTTAAAAAAGTATTTTCGGTGTTTGAAAATCTATCTGGCGCAGTCAGTAGGATTTGTGCGAGTCGCGAAAAGAACTGAAAATTCGCTTTTGTCGTTACCAGAACTCTTTCCGGACTTTAACGTTTTAACGTTTTAAGTGCAAATCCGATACGAATCTACCCTCAAGAAACAACAACCACCGACAAGACTTCAAGTTGCAGAGAATCACTAGCAGTAGAAAGAAGCTTCGACGAACTCCATTCAAAGGGGTGAGTGCCAAGTTCCTTTTAACCTTCCTAAAAGTTTTATATCTAGAAACAGATAGTAATTAAATATATATTATTTTTCAATTTATTTTTGAATAAATGAATTTATTAAGAATTTAATGAATGAAATTGATGAAATATTAAATCAATTCAGTAATCTTAATATTGAATCTGAAGAAAGTAATAATACTACTATTTTAAGTGAAAGTGAAAATTTAAATTTTGACAATATGGTTCCTCCAATACCCCCCGTGCCTGTAGCAGCACCTCGCGCTATTAACTGGGATCTTTTTAGGTCCAAAGTGTCAAATATTAAGCCATATGATGGCGATAGTAATACTTTGAACAAATTTATTTCTCGTTGTGAAAATTTAATAGCAACTTATAGAGATTATAATGATCCAGAATTTAATGGTCACATTTTTGAGTGTATACAAGAAAAATTGATAGGCAAGGCTGAAGCCATGGTAGGAAACCGGGTTGAACTTAGTGATTGGCGTTCATTAAGGAATGCATTAGAGCAGTGTTTTTCCGATCGACGGAATTTAGATTGTATAACGCAAGAATTAACTAGAACTACCCCGTATAAAAATGAAAACTTAATAGATTTTGGCACGAGACTACAATTATTACGTAGCAGTGCAGTACAAAGAATAAGTAATGATATAAATCTTAACGCGCAAGAAAAACTTTGTCAAATAAATCATTGCGACAAAACAGCCCTAAACACCTTTATTGCAGGTTGCACAGGTGTATTAAAGAATAATATGCATTTAAAACAACCAGCATCACTGGAAGATGCTATGGCTTACGTAACCGATTACGAAAATTTCGGAAAATTATACGGCAACACTAATGACCAATATAATTTTTCAAGAAACAATTTTCAAAAAACTAATTTTAAAAATAATACTAATAATAATTTTGTTCCAAAACAATTTAATAATAATTTTCAACCAAATCAATATCATCAAAATGTTAATCAGCCAATACAAAGGCAATACCAAGATTTTCAATTACAACCACAAAATTTTCGACCAGTTTGGTCTAGTCAACCCATTAATGTCCAACCACGTCAGGTAAATAGAAATTATCCGACAAATGCTCAAGTTTTTGGACCTCCCCGTAACGTTTTTAAACCCAACCAAATACCCCAAAATCAACTTCCCAAACCTGAGCCAATGTCGACAACATCGAGAAACCCCTCGATGTACAATAGAAAGCAGTTTAATCCGAATTATAGATTTAATAATAACAATAACAACAGAAGATTTAATTATTTCCAAAATAACAGTAATCAAAAACCTAACTTTACTTCTGAAGAATTATTTGTTAATAATTATGATGACAATCAAAATACAGACAATTTTGATTATCGCCCAACCTTAAATAAAAATAATGAAGAAGATGAAACTCAAATCGATGAGTATTCCCAAAATGCAAATTTTCGAATAAATGCCTCGAACAAAGAAATGACTTAGTAGAATTTAATCTCATTTCAAACAATCCACTCCCATACATAGAAATAGAAAACCCCAAATTAAAATTGTTAATAGACACGGGCAGTACCAAATCAATTTTAAAACCCTCTATTATGGAAAAATATTACCCCGATTGTATTTATCAATCAAATGTTTTTCTTTCTACTTCCCTTGGTAGTCAAAATATCAGGTATCAAGCCGAGATACCAGCTTTCCAAGAATTTAATGATAATCACTATATTAACTTCCTTTTGTATGATTTCCACGAATTTTATGATGGAGTCATTGGCCTTAATGATTTATTAGCGATGAATTTTAATATCGACTTAATTAATAAAAAATTGATTAGTGATCATTCTATAATACCAATAAAATACAGAAAATCCAATGAAATAAAATTTGAAATTTGCATAGGTCCAAGTGAAAAATTATTGAAAAAATTACCTGTCAGTATTTCAGACGGTGATATTTTAGTAAATAAAATAAAATTAGGCGAAATTCATATACCTGAAACATTAACTTTTGCGGAAAACGGGTTTGCTGCACTCGAAATAATAAACCGAACAGATAAAAATATTTGTGTTACGCTAAATGAACCAATACCAGCTACCCCTTTTAATTCATTAAATCATGAAATTTATAAATTTGAATGT